AATGTTCAAACAAAATGTCTGTGCTAAACCCTACAGGTTTACAATAACACAATATCCGATGTCGTATAATAGTTTCAACAATAATATCAACTTAAACATGTGTATTTACTGCTTAAATAAAACATTTTTGTTTCTTACACGGGGATTGAATACATGTAGAAGCAAATTAACTTTAACTCGATAGCTAAAAGAGCCATAGCTGACTTACCAAATTATTTAAGTGTAAATCACCTGTTTCTATTTAGGTGTATATAGATATGTACTTATCCCTTTTCAATATAATATCAAACTACATGCAATGATGTTTGTAATCATTTGTGAACGAGTATAATTATATTTTCATAGTTGCATGATAATCATTTTACCTGATGAATACATCATTCTTAGACAAAAGAAAATAAAGAAAATCTATGAAATAAGACAAATACCTGTGAATTTGACTTAATAAAACAGCTTAGGACTGTCTGAGATACTTTCAAGTTGGAATGTTATTATATTCTTGATCCCCCCCCAACACCTCCTATTTCAGAAGAAAAACTGTATCCGCCTTACTACATGTACATCATACATGTACATTGCAATAGATGTTTGAATATTGAATTTTTAATTTCTTCCAATCCATCTGCAAAATTATATAATACGCTTCTGCATAAAAAAAATATCCCTGCCTCAACGTCCCTACATGTAACATTATAAAAAAAACCAATAAATTTTCTGACAAATTAAAAGAAAAAAAACATATCAAAATTTATTAAAAGTGTTTTAAGAAGTAATATATCTTGCGCATTTTGTTCCTGGAATACGCGATTCCCCGTGTTCCATGCACTCTTATTGGTATTATTAGGTAATAGACTTGTACCTTAGGTTTCATGCACTGCGAAGAGCAATGGTTTGGAACTTCTATAAACTTGTATTTCATTGTAAAGTAAACTGGGTTGACTTGCATAAATAGCTAAATAAGCGAAGCTGCCTGTAAGAATCCTCTGGATGTAATACATTTCTTATGTTTTCAACTCACATCTTAAATGGTGTTTAATGAGATACTAAATTCTTAATCTAATGATATCATAAAACACAATCCCTAGTTATATGGGTCAAGAGTTGTTAACATATATTTTAAGCTTTATCGTGATTATTACAGAACAGTCTTACACGTACGCAAGCACACCAGGCCATTGCATAAACTCATTTGAAGAGCTAATGATGATTCCATTCTGGATGTGAATGATCGTGATCGGATCGAGAATGACTAACAAAAAATAATTCAATTTGTCATAATGGTGATCTAACTATGTTTTTGAAATAGTACAGCAAAAGAAAACACGCCTATTGTGATAAATTTCCTTTCATCAAGCAAAATAAACTTAATACTTATACAGAATCTTCCAAACCATTAGATCTTGAATACAAAGGATACATACTTTCATTCTGAAATGCTGGTTTTACAATTTAACAAAAACTAATTTCTTAAAAAGTAAAGTGTAACATAAACACATTGCAAAAAGTATATTATTAGTGAATACACATATAAATGTACAGATACTCTGGAGTGTTTAAAGAAATTCCGATTATTTAGTTGACTCGCATTTGGTTCTAATTTGCCCGCACATCAGTGATTAGCCGGTGAATTCTCCCGTCGGTGAAAATGACCTAATGAGACCAGTAGGACATGATCTCATAGAAATTATTCTTACAGGTGTTTGTAATGCTCTCTAGCTGGAAGCGGGCGTCAGCATCGGAAAAGGCTGTACATTCACCTTAGTTCCACACCGACTTTATAATTATATAAATCATTCTCATGCCAAGAAATCCCATCAGGTTTTCCAAAGCAATGGAGTCAATAAAACTGTAATTGATTAAAATCACCCACATTCCCCAAAGGTTAGCAAGACAATTTACGGCAGCATTTTTCAGGGGATGGATCATAGGTTTTCAGCTTTCTTAAATGTTCGTAGTTACAGAAAAATAAATTTGAAGAATTCCACCATTTATTTTAATCATTGATATTTTAACTTTAAAATGAAAATATTTACATAGCAAATCAGGTAACGTCTACAAATTTGGCATTTTTCTCCATTTTGTTTAACCGGGAAATGATGTAAACTCTCGGGAATTTGGTACTCTTTTCCTATAATTCGACGCAATACTTCCACACCTACCAAGTTCCTCATACGCATTGTTAATTTTTACCGAGAAAATATTTGATGTGGAAATCAATAAAAATTTGAAGGGTGGCTTATTTTTTACTGAAGACTCAGTTTACTATAATTAATTTAAGTTTAACCCCCCCCCCCACCGGAGCAAAAAGGGGGAGTGTGTAAAGGCTTTTAAATAAGTAGCACCCGGCGCCCCCCCCCCCCCCCCTTAAGATTGTCAAAGTTAACGTAAATTATAGTTTCATCTAGAAAATGTTAATATGTCTACTTGGTAGAACTCATTTCTACCCTACAAAATCTCTAAACCCCAGGAGCTTCCGGGGCCTTAAAATCTTAGGGGAGTTAAAGAAACAAACTAAGTATTTTTTGTTTAAATAATGAAGGAAAGATTTGTTTTTTGTTCTCTTTATTAGCAGGCAAATAAAACGGTAAATACAGGGTAATTTTTATAATGTTTATATAACATTCACATTTCACATTTGTTTTGAAAATGTATACACATGTATACAAATCTTTGAAATTGTATTTCATAATTATATTAATCACATGTTCATAGTTCCACTTATTATTGAATTGCGAATGTATCAACATAAAGTAAAGAGACTGTAAGATGTATATTTTCACGTTTTCTGGTGAATCAAGCAATTTTTTGTTAATATATATAGAAAGGAACCTAGTCATTGTAATTGGAATCTACAAATGTTTCTTTGATTAATGTTTTGGTGGACCCACCAAACTTCCCACTTTAAAAAATTAGGCAATGCTGATAATATAATGTATATCATTCAAGTATTCTGTTTGTTTTTGGTGGGTCCACCAAGTACTTGTTAGTGAAATTAAGAAAGCCTAGGAATTTGTTTTTCTACAGGTTGGTGAGTCCACCAAACGACTTTCTATATTTAAAGACAAATTAGTTGATCTTTGAGTTACATGAAGATTTTCTAATTTTCTGGTGGACCCACCAGGTTTATGTTCGTGTGTGCATAAATGTATTAAGTGTCTCTACGTTATTATACAAGAAAATTATGATTGCCTTTTGATTTTAATGTCTTTGGTGGATCCACCAAACTGCCCAATATTTGTGAATACTAGAGAATCTTGACAGTGTATCATTTAAGAATTCTTGTGAATTTTTATTTGTATTTTTGGTGGATCCACCAAGTATTTGTGAGAGAAAATATGAATGTCTTGTTAGTTGAATTTTTGCATTTTGGTGAGTGCACAGACTCTGTATAAAGGACTTTTTTTATACGGTTCTACAAGTCAGTTTCTCTCAATGGTTTGTTTCAGTATTTTAAAACTGGTGGATTCACCAACGGCAATTTTAAAATGTTATTGGGAATTTCACCACATTTAATGTTTTTGGCGGAACCACCAAAATCCCCACTACTGATAAATACACTTGCTATATCTATTTCATGTAATTCAAATATTCTTAGGTATTCGTCTTCGTATTTTTGGTGGACCCACCAAGTAGTTGAATGGTTAATTAGAGAATTATGAATTGTAAAAGTCACTCTTGTTTTTTTTGGTGGAACCACCAAGATCAATATTTATTTGAAGAAATTCATAATTCAAATTGGTGCACTCACGAATTTTTGACTGTTAATATAGAAAAACCGATAAATAATTTGTCTGTTTTAACATAAACATTGGTGTTCTCACCAATTCTCAATGTATTCAATCATGGCAATTAATTAAAAAACATGTTGATTGCTGAAATTGCATTGTCGTCATTTTTCATTTTGAATTCAAAAAAGAGGACACGAATAGAAAATCCTCTTTCTTAATGGAAACAGTTATATACTGTGGTGTCAATCTGTTTTTGTACATATTTTACTAGAGATTATGACGTAATTAAACTGAGTTGTGTAACCATACATCCTTTATCCCCTTAAGTATTTCATCTAGTCAGAAGTCAGAGGCGAATCCTGTCTTAAGAATTCGATCCAGTAAATACCGTACAACCAGAATTTTTTACATCGTCTGAATGCACGGTCGGGAGTCCGCATATAAAGCTCTCTCTTACCCGTGGCTGCTTGATTACAAAAAGTGTTGTAATCATGAATATTTTCGTCCGTCTACTGTGACGTCATAGTCAGTCAGTGGCATGTGTCCAGCAACTGACATCAACAGTATAGAAGAAATATTTCATATACAGCGATTGGACATTGAAAGGTCGCGATAAAGTTCATCATCCGACTATGCTTTACTCGCATTGGTCAATATTTGAATGAGCTAAAGAATTCTCTCCTCGTTCAACCACGGCCAGAATGGGAGAGAATCGTTCATTTTGGCCGTGGTTTCCAACGATGAATTTTTACCGAGGACTTAATTTTGGCATTTTTAGTGAGGGTGCTGATATTGCTAAAATTATTTGCATTTTAGTTGGCTTCTTGAAGGAGCTGTTTATTATCGCTTAAATTACTCCTCGCTAAAAATGATATACCCATTATTAAGGACAAAGTTTGTGTCTAGGTAAAACTTCCACTTTTACGGTATGAAACCTGACCACAAAAAGTGAACGCCATCAGGTTGAAGAGAATTTGAAGCCCTGTATATGTATTTGGAAAAATCATGAAGAAAATTGTATAAATATGTATTTTCCAAGACAGGGATATCGGTATTCGGTACCCCTCTTGTACCTTATAGTTAAGTCACAAATACAGGTTAAGAACGGTTTCATTTAATACTAGTATTAAAAAGGTAATTTTAACCTCTGAAACATTAAAATCCATTAAAAATAATTCAAAATGTAATTCTGATAAACTTCGAATAACACAATGCATTTGAGTAATTTTTTCAGCGTTTCCCAGTACCTTTAGCACTATGATTCTTTTACAGATAACGTTGCATTACGTAAGTTGACAGGGCAGCAGTGTCCTTATACAGATCGTCCATTAAATGCCATTGCGATGGCAGAGAAAGCCGTAGATGGGCTGTATTCGAACCGGAGTGTCTTCGGAGGACAGTGTACGATTTCGGCAAACTCAGAGATAAAGGCAACCTTGTGGGTGGATCTAGGAGTTGTATCCAGTATACATCATATAACTATCTATTATAGGACGGAAAATAACCCTTGGGGTAGAGTTAACATCTACTTAACTTGAAATTGTTTTTTAGAATAACTGAATGAAGTTGCATAAATCCATTTATTTTCTATGTGGCTTGTAACAGGAGCTTTGATTGGTTACAAAATCTGATGTAAGTTTCCGTGCACTCGACTTTAGCCGGGAGAAAATAAAACGTGACGTCACGACGCATACTCTCTCTATGATAAAAAAAAATAATATGAGTTCACGATGCATTGTAGTACGTAGTACTTTTTGGGTAGATTTAAACACAGTTGATTATACTCTGATGTTTACAAAAATGCATATGAGTACATAGGAAATAAATTCGTCGTCAAGGTCCAATAAAGAGTTTAGGGGGATTTACTCCGGGTTTTATTCTATTCACCCTGAGGCCTTCGGCTTCGCTTTTATAAAAATAAAAAAATACAAAATATTACCATTTAACATAAGAAGTAATGAGATAATAATCAATGCTGACCTTCCCCTACATGAAAAAAAAACTATTTTTTGTATTGTCTTTTTATGTAAGATTTGAGAAAATTGAAAACATGTACACAATAAATATGCCAAAACTTTAATTTACTGCATTAATCAATGTTTTCAGGAATGAAAGTACTCATCATTTTTTTTTATATCTCTCTTTCTGGCCAGTGTTCCGCTTAGTTGAATGTGGTTAAGAAATATAAATGATAAAAAATTTACATGATTCTGGAACCAAAGACATGTAAAATTTTAGTTTGTTTGAATTGTTTAGAATCTTTCAATTTTATTTGCCAAGTATATCAGTAAATTCTGTAATTTAGATGTTTTACAATAAAAATTACGTGAATTTATTAAAACTCCATAAGCATATTTTTTTTTGTTGAATTTCTACTTATACGATATTTATACTCAGCAATCTTCAGTTTGATATCTAGGTTGACACATTTGTCTGAAAACTTGTGTACGATTCTAATAACGAAAATAACAATCTTCATTGCATTTAGAAACTAACTTGTATTTTAAATATTACATCTACATAATGGCAGATTACATGTATTTTCTTTTCTCTAGATGAAACTAATAATTACACGTCACGATTTCTTGGTTTCTCGGTTTACATCTCGAATACAACCAACAAAGATGAGGGTATTCTATGTTTTAAAGATACAAAATACACCAGAGCCACAATTCCGGATATTGTAACCAAAGAATGTGTAACACACGGGCGATACGTTATCTACTACAATGAGAGACTGTCAAGGGCTAATAACCCTCACGGATATTCCGAATGGGCATTCAGTGAACTATGTGAACTTGAAGTTTACGGTAAGAAACACTACAAATGAAACATAGGGAATTAATGAACAGTATTTAAGGTCAAAAGTCCATAAATCAATAAAAAATAAGAACAGAGCAAACAGGGACCCCAAAACATCAGATGTGAGATGATATGCCATGGGGGAGCAAACATTCCCTGACGACCGGTCATACCCGCTGTCTGTTCATTGTCATGATGGGGAAAAACTGAAAATCTGTTGACAATTCTGTTGATAAATAATGAACTAACAATTCATATTAAAAATGTCAGTCAGCATTTAATTTAATGATAAATTGTATTTGCTAACAAAACCATTTTATCGTCCATATAACTTACGAAATTCGGACTTTAAGCGAGACTGCTGAAATTGTTGTTTCATCAACCATTTTTTTTCAATAATTTACCATGTTTCAGAAATTGATCATACGTAGATCATGCTCTTGTGTAGCAAGTAAACTGATATATGTACAATGTATCTGTACGCAGGCGATGAAGGTATATTGCTGCTCAATAAGTGAAGTTGACGACAGAGACTTAAAGCCATTGCGTTTATCAAAGAGCATGGTTGTTATATTACAATTAAAGTATTTTTAAATAAAATATGGAAATACGAAACAGATGTGTCTGACTCTATGGTAATTTTTATTTCAATCTCAACAGGTTATATCGTATCAACATAAGAATAGCAATTACCATCAATCATAATTAACAAAACAATAAGCTTCGATATACACGAACGTATATTCAAATAATATATTATCTAATATAATAATAATTAATTTAAAAGATGGAGGATCTTTATTGGGAGGAGCGTAGGTCGATCTTCAAAACCATATCAATCAGAAAAGTTATAATGTTTCGATAATGCAGTAATACATGTATAATATGATAAAATAAAACGTTCAGTCGACATAAAAGTAGATAAATGGTACATGTGTAAGTGGAATATCACAGAGAATTAACTAAAAGGCGTGATATTTCATTGTCTTAATAGCAGATTCAATTCAGTGGCTTATTAGGTATTTTTATTTTTTTTTTTTTTTACATTATAATTTTTGGTCAACTATTCTTTAAGGCCTATGGAGTATTTTTCTTCTACAATGAAATTTAAGTCATAACGATATGTTTCATATTGACGGAGACTTTCTTAACAAGGGGTTTTACGTTTTGACACCAGTATTTGCCGTAGTTATTAATATATTCCTAAAAAAATAATGATAATAATAATAATAATAATTATAATAATAATAATAATAATAATAATAATAATAATAATAATAATAATAATAATGATAATAATAATAATAATAATTTATTTTCTTACTTTTACATTGTACCTTTTCAATTTATGTCATGATCTATATATCTACTGTTTAGAATAAAAATATAAGACAGAACATTATTTTAGATCGGTTCCCCATACCTGAAAAACATCTGATCTATTCTCAGCTATTTCTTAAAAGCTTTATATAAGGTGATTAATTTACGTTTTTGATATAAATGAGCTGGATTCAAAAGGACTAGTTGTAACATATACTTAACTCGAACGTGGTATTAAAGTATTGAAGAAAAATATAATATCGCGAACCAAATAGTTTCTTTCAAGCAATTTTTTTCCATAATTTTGCATACCATCCATAGTATCATTGATGCTCTTATATGGTAAATAAATGGTAACGTGATATTAATCTCATTAAAATTTAAGGTAAAGAATACTAGACAACCACATTGACATTATTATCGAAAAATTACTGAAAGATGAAGAAAGTACATGAAAATATACAAGCCTCTGCTTTATGGTACTTGTACCGAAAAGAAAAGCAGAATAGTAGCTGAATTATAACTGATTACTAATATGTTTTTGTCATTGAGTTTCTAAAAATCACTGAAAATGTAAGGAAAGATACTCTTTGCTTCTTTTTGCGAAATCCGAACCTCACCAGCTTGATGTAAACTTTGTTAACATACCATGTTTATATTTTATTAGATATACAGATGTACATTTCTGAGAGAAATTATATGATTTAAACTAATAATTATATGTGATATTACTATAAATAATACGTGTACATGCAATTATATTAGAAAATAAGCTGAAATCATAAATTGTATATAAAATATGCCATTAATTACGCAAAAGTTGTGTATTATTTAAAAGCATGAATAATTATTTGAATAGGATGCTCAACCCCAGGTGTTTACGGAAAAAATTGTGATGTACCGTGTCCACAGAACTGTCAGGAGAGACATTGTAACATTGTGAATGGAACCTGTCTTGGATGTGTTACAGGGTACAAAGGTCCACGGTGTGAAGAACGTATGTAAATGCAACCCAATCTGAGAGGGAGAGAGAGAGAGATCCTTTTCATTATTACAATAACTGGTATTTCCAGTTTCCCAACCCGCTCAATGATTTCTGTAGACAGAGTGTGAAAAAATCACTAAAAGTGGAAAACTATTTTGATACTGTATTGTGTTTATACTAAGGAATACAGATAATTTATAATTCCCTTGTCACTGTTTTAATTTGCATTCTTTATGCTTTCTGCTACTGCTTCACGCTGTATACCCACCACTGGGTGGTAGATACTAACCGGCTTTGTAAAAAAAGAATGCATAAAACAGTTCCACGTGCCATTATATAAATGGTGCCTGTTTTGGAGGGTAACATTTGAAATTGACACCCCAAGGAAAACCATTGTCAACCAACGCGTCAGCGGAGGTTGACAATGGTTTTCCTTGGGGTGTCAATTTCAAATGTTACCTTCCAAAACAGGCACCATTTATTTTATTATACTGAATGTCTTATTGATTTAGGATGTCAGCAAAAAAAAAAAACCGTCGATCGTCTTTACGTTCATGTATAGAAAGCTTTCACACTCACCGGTTCACTAATCTCCTTATTGTTTGTTTGATACTCAAATTAGAGTCATTTATCATAAAAAGTTTCGTTATTTCTGTCTCGCAAGCATGTTTCCTACACTCGCAAGCATGTATCGTCTGTCGTTTGTTGTTTTCAAGTAAGTTATATCGGACGCAAGCTTTATTGACGTCAAGTTAATTCCGGTTCTTTCAAACGCGCAACTGACGTTTTGAGAATTCTACGGTGAACCGTACGCGCATAATTTCCACGCATGTGGCATTACCGTTGTGTTACCCGTTGTCACGTGTGTTGCTAAGGCTCAGGGTAATCGAACAGATTGTTAACTGCGTCTAAACCAATCAGATTTTAGTATTTAACATGAAAGTATAATAATAATAGATTGTAGGCGTTATGAAATGTGTTGATGCAGAAACAAATTAGGACGACAATAGGTGCCTAAATTAACATGTGAAAGCATGTATATTTGTTGTGTACCTGGATTTCTTAATATCTATCTCAGTGCTTAATTTAAATCTGTCCTTTATACAAAACTAATACTAATAATGTCGTCATCTAATGTATTACGAGACATAAATTGCTTAGAACAAGACGCAGGAAAGCATTTTAATATAATACATGTAAGTCGCGGTAAAGTTATTACATAGTTGCAAAAATCAGTATTACTTGTCGAGGAAACTAGATTTGAAATGCAGAGATGTCAACCTTCTGATAGCAAAACAATCAAAGGCAATCATTAGATTATATGCATTAAATCAATCTAAGTTTCCCTTAACTGTATTGTACTTAAGCTTCTGTTCTAAATATTTACATTTGTTGTGCTTTTCTACAAAGCCAGTGTGAAATTGATTTGAATACCATTTTTGTGTATACTCACACGTAAAAATATACAGAGGGAAACGTTCGTTAATGTGACGTCACAATGAGGATTCAACGACGTTAGTAAAAATGTAACGATATAGGGCAGCGGGATTTTCAAATATTTAGTATATTCTAGTTGCTTCCAAACATGTAAAATATAAATATTATGAGTTATTGGTGTGTGAATCACACAGACTTGCACGTAGCCATATTTTTCATGAAGTGTTATAGTGCCCTTTATGAAATATGCGTACGTGACAAGTCTGTGTGATTCAAACAAGAATAACTCACACAAAACTAAAAAAATATAAATATTGTGAGTTATTGGTGTGTGAATCACACAGACTTGCACGTAACCATATTTTTCATGAAGTGCTAGTGCGCTTTATGAAATATGCGTACGTGACAAGTCTGTGTGATTCAAACAAGAATAACTCACAAAAACTTTAAAAAAGAAAACATTCCTTAACTTTTGTACAACTTACTGAACTATGACGCAACAAACTGTTAATGTTTTCGTCATAGGAATATGAAATAACCCCCCCCCCCCCCCCCCCCAAAATGCTTTAGATCACAGAATAAGTTTCTCTAAAATTTAGCGCAAATAAATATGAGGTAATATTTTTATAGGATTATAACAATTTCTAATTTTAAAAGATTTTGGAAGCATAAAATTGAAGGGTTTTGTAATGAATTGAAGATTTAATGAACTTTTAAAAGTGATTCCGGAGAAACGGTACATGTGTACTTTTGTGTTAGAAATAGGAAATGGTACATGCGTTAAAATGCCTGAATGCTGGGAAGGGGGGGGGGGTTAATGAATCACGTTTTTGTATCTTTGATTTTTTTTTTTTGTTAAAATAGACAGCCGATTTTTTTTGCTGAAAATACTAGAGGAATTTCAATAAGAATACATTATAATTTTCAGAATGCGATAATTATAAATACGGCTTTGAGTGCAGTCTGACCTGTGGTAATTGTAGTAATGGAGAACAATGTAATCACGTCAACGGAAGTTGTACAAACGGATGTGGCGTTGGAGCTCAAGGATATTTATGTAACGAAAGTTAGTTTCTCGGAATTATACATCAATGAATCAATTTTATCATATGCAGCACAGTTAAGGTTAAAGTAAGGAGGGGTGGGCCTAATTTGTATGGGAAATGTTTATTATGACGTCACACATAATATAAGGTCTTCAAAATACCACAAAATGAACTTATGTGCTATTTCAGACAGCTGGATAGCTATATACTACATACAAACTTACTATTACATGCCGTTTTGTCGTTTGTTAAATCCCACAAAATAATATATAAACGATGCATCGATCGCAATGAGCACTTGTCAAAGTTACTTCATCTCGCAAAAATGACGCAGTTTGTACACAGTGAGAGGCTGATCATGTTACATTTTGTACGATTAAAAATGTTTTGTTCTCTGATAAAATATTATTTGCAGTCGTTAACTTGGATGCGATGTCAATTTTAGTATTTTATTTATAAACTGCCCGTACATTCTCCAGACAACTGATACTGTCGTTTGTTTGTATGCAGATCCATTGAAAAATAATGGAAGGACCCTAGTAAATCGATTTATTGCAAGGGCATATCCTCAATGTATCTTGTCAAGTTTTTACAAATAAACTCAAGAAGCATTAAGATATTTGAAATGTGCTGCGAACCTCATGAAATCTTGTAAATAAATCAATAATAGCTTTAGTTAATGTAGCTGACCAGCAAAATATTCGACCTGCCGTCCAACAAATTGAATTTTAGCAATTAAAAAAGGGAAGTTATATAGGTTCGCAGCACGTTTCACAAAATATGTATAGTGTTGAAAAGGATTATAAATTAAACCAAGATTTTTAATTTGGCTATGCCCTTGCAATTTTGGAATTTATAGATGACCTCTAAACTGCAAGTATAATTGCTAAAAATATGTGACGTCGACATCACGTGACAAGTGTAAATTAAAAAAAAAAGCATCTAAATGTCCCTGACATGTATATTTAAACCACATTACATTTTTTGATATCAGTGAAGTTTTAAAAAGAATCGCCCCTCCTAATAAAGTATGTATATCTTATCTTAAAAAAACCACCGATATTTCCATTTGTAACCTTAACCGTGCTGCATATTGGTCACCTTCTGCAATAACAATGTTTTTTATATTCTCAATTAAAAATGATGAATTCATGAGTATAGACAAAACGAATCAATGAATATAGAGCAAGAAATTTATGTCTACTCTAGTTTTCATTTCTCTCTAGCATGCCCTGTGGGACGTTATGGTAACAACTGTCTGGATATTTGTAGTATCAACTGTGGAGTGCCACTCTGTTACATCTGTGGAAGATGTAACAGAGTGACAGGGGAATGTCAAAGGGGATGTCAACCGGGATGGAAAGACATGAGATGTGACAAGAGTGAGGAAGTTTTAATATTATGTACATGTATAAATATTTGGGTGTCAAAATTTCAATTTATCACATAGCTGACTGTATTACAAGATATAAGAAAGAAATATAAAATAGATTTATTTACAATCAAAAAGTCATGTTTTTTTTCAACTTTTCAATTCTTCCTGAGGAACGATATGAAATATTGCTAAGTAAAGGAAAGTTTCATAAAAATGAGCCTTAAAGGAAAATAAAATGTGGTACATTTTTCTTTTGCAGAATGTGATGAGAATAAATTTGGACTAAACTGTGCTCAGTCATGCGGAGTTTGCATGGGAAAAGAACAATGTCATCACATAAACGGGACATGCTTGACTGGCTGCGATAGAGGTTATCAAGGGATCAAATGTACACAAGGTACAACGTAACAAATCGGGTTTTAAAATTAAAATAGCAGTATATTGACTGATTGTATATTGTTTAACGTCCCAGTCAAAAAGTTTTCAACCATATAAACCTCACCGTATGCCGATAAAGGGCCTCATTTTTAAACCTATTCTCGGCACTCAGGGTCATTGATTAGTGATGGTTCTTTATCTTGCAAACGTCTACCGTGATTCATTTTTCAAGAGTTTTCATTTCTTTTTAGATCACTTGGGGATCCGTGTTAGAATAGGTCCTCAGTACCCCCTTGCTTGTCGTAAAAGGCGACTAAATGGGGCGGTCCTTCGAATGAGACCGTATAAACCGAGGCCCCGTGTCACAGCAGGTGTGGCACGATAAAGATCCCTCCCTGCTCAAAGGCCGTAAGTGCCGAGCATAGGCCTAAATTTGCAGCCCTTCACCGGCAATGGTGACGTCTCCATATCAGTGAAATATTCTGGAGAGGGACGTTAAACAGTATACAATAAATCAATCAATCATTTTTTTAGAATGCCCCGATGGACGTTATGGCTACAACTGCAATGAAACATGTAATATCAACTGTGGGGTTCCTGGACGATGTAACAGAGTAACAGGAGAATGTCAAGGCGGGTGTCAGGAGGGATGGAAAGACATGAGATGTGATCAGAGTGAGGACATTTTAGTATTATGTACATGTTTAAATATTGGTTTGTCTGATTTCAATTTTTATAAAAACTACAAGCCACATTTTACATTGCTGACTGTATTACAAGATAAAACCAGGATTATAAAATTATAATTATTTTCGAATATATATAGTCATAGTTGTGTCAATTTTTTCAATTCTTCATGAAGGAGAAATATGAAATATTGCTACACTGTAAGTTAAGGAAGTTTCCTAAAATAATGCTTAGAAATAAAATTATATGTGGTACATTTCCCTTCTGCAGAATGTGGTGATGAAAAATTCGGACTAAACTGTGCTCAGTCATGCGGGATTTGTCTTGATAAAGAACAATGTCATCATATAAACGGGACATGCTTGAATGGCTGTGACAAAGGATACCAAGGAACCAATTGTAATGAAGGTAACAAATCGGGTTTTAAAAGTTTAAAATAGCAATATACAACATATTCTTATTGGAAGTGTTATGTTCAATGACAAGTCTTTTTTTTTTTAAAAGTCGATATATTAGCAAATGACAAGTTTTAAAGCTAAAAAGAAAAACTAAGAGCAATATGAAGAATGTGCTCATGTTATATATGAAAAGATATTGGTTTTCATCTGATTTAATTTGTTTAAAAAGTCATTTATTATTATATAGTGGTTTAGGTTAATATAATAATATTGCAAAGTAAAATGAAAACATCATGTTTAAAGACGTGTATTAATATTAAATAATTTGTGGAACAAATATAAAGCATCCTATCTATAAAACTATTCATGTCACCATTTTTTTCCGATCACCGAAATTTTATTCTTACATAATAAAATATTTAATTTCACAATCTGTCCTACATTTTTTTCTTTAAATATGTGTAAAAAGTGTTTTGATAATTTAGAATGCCCCTGGGGTTTTCATGGTTATAGTTGCAACAAAACATGCAGCAACGATTGTTTTAATAGAAGTTGTAACGCTGTAACTGGAGCATGTCCGGTGGTGAGTAGCATTGATATTTAATTCAATCTCTTTGTTTCACTGTGTTTTCAATTAGTACTTTTGTTTATACAGTATTTATTCCAGAAAAGGAATGTGCATATATATATCTGGTCTTAAGAGAATCTATACCCAGTTAATTATTTAATCTAATGAACAAAGTTATAAGTACACAGAAAAAAATCTTTTTCCTGGAAAGGATCCTTAAAATAAGGCTGGCCATTTGGAGCAATTGCTCCAGTGAAGTTAATAAATGCTTGTGGTACTCTCCTTATCTGGAAAATAGTCTACCAACTTGGTCAAATGAAACGGAGCAATACGAAATATTCAGTTTAAATACTATATAAGTGTATTTTGTAAAAATCTTTCCTGGCTTATAAACGATGATCTTCGAGGTTTCAACTCTAAAAGTTGGAACATAGATTCCTTCAAAGAAAGTAACTCCATACTTTGGTGTTTCCGAGTCCATACAATATATATAGTCAGTACCTGTTGCTATGTAAGTTGACTTAATTCAGGTAAAATCACCAGTGTTCTTTCATATTTCTCTCGATCATAGATATGCACTTTTACTACTGTAAAATCACATATTATCGTGGGGTCAAATTTTCGTGGTTAAAGGAAAAAAATGTTGGTTCATGGGGATTTGATTTCGTTAATGATGAACTTTTTAGTAGTTGTGCATATGAAATTTCACATTTCGTTGTGGACATGAATTCATAGGTCTCTTCATACCACGAAAACAACGAAAACTAAACCCCCACGAAAATTAGTGATTTCACAGTATTTTTAGACTGAAAAAAGACAAGTATGATGCAATTTCTTTACTTAACAATTTAAGCTATATTTCACTTTGGATTTGAATCTTGAATAATTAATATGAAAATGTGTTTCCATAATATCAACTATCCTAAGGCATGTTACCTGCCAATTGCGTGAACGATCAAACTTAGGATCGAAGCATTTAACAGCAGAGTACTGCTGTGCTAGTCCCTCTTGCTTTTATTTGGTAAATTAAATTACTGTGGAATCATTTAAATTCGTGGGGGTCAATGTTTGTGGAAAAGCAAAATTTGTCCTGTTCACAGGACGTAATTTCGTGGGTTACTGACGTAAGAACGATGGTTCAGTGTCTCAATTATAACAAAATAATTGTTCGTTTGGATGTAAATTCCTGGGTATGGGTGATTCACGATATCCAAGAACATTGTTCCACCACAAACAATGATGATTCTGCAGTATTTTCGACGAGAAAAACAGGATGTAAAGCTAAAAATACAAAACATGGGGCCAGTCCTGTCTGATTTGCTTTAGACTGTGCTTCTTTATTAGCTGCTTATTTGCGTTTTATCCAAAGGATCATTTGAAAAAGGTAGGCATCTATGTATAATGGATCAAACTTTTACCCCCACCGTGGTTCAGAGAGTTAGTCTTCAATGTAAAAAAAATAAATAAACAAAGAAATCAAATTGCTATCTTCATTACAATATTTAGACAGGTAATTCATTTTCAATATTCTGTCTATTTAAAAAAAATATTTTTCTATATACAAAATAAGGTATTTGAAACAAAAATAAGTTGTATAAGTTTTGTGCCGCTTAATTTTATTTCATTTGTTGTGCAGGAGGCTACTTCAGATCTCCTGGAAACTAACACTTTCCTTATCATTGGAGGGACAACAGCAATCATCGTCGTTAGCCTGGCGGCAGCCATATTATGTTTTATCTTCAGAAGGTAATTGTTAGACATATACCGTATAGCGGGTTCTCTTGGCAAGTGTATAATTTGGCGTTTTACCTGCTCTAAGGTATGTCAATAATTTTGACGTAATTTATTTTAGCGGACGTAAGGTATCAGCTGTTTGCAGAGGTCATTAATAAGAGTACTGACTATATGAGCGATTAAAATTTTAGCGGACTGTCATCTAAACGCCAAAAAAAGCCAAAATTAGAACCCCGCTATAATAACCCGCTATACGGTACTAATAACTTTTTTACTCTGTACTGTTTTATATTTTGATAACTTTTGTTATGTTAATACTTTTTTTCATTCTTTTTTTTTAATTTTTAGATTAAGATCGTTTGCGAATGCCTCTTCTTAGCATTGGTGTTTTAATTTTTACATTTCTTCGAGAGGAAATTACATATTGTTCCTGTACATTATTTAAGAAATAAATAACAAGTTTATAAACTTCAATGGGAATTGAAGTGGGTCGGTCACGTGATAAAATCCTGTGAGGGCTGAAGGCCTTCTCAGAAGATTTGATCACGTACCGACCCACTTGTTATTTATTACTTATATATACATTTGAGACAGACAATTAAATATTTTTGAATTTAAATTATTTGACTAACTGTCCGTCGTAGATTTTGAAAATGACGCAAGTTGGAAATCGGCTTGCATGGCGGTTACGCTTCGAAATCATTAGGCTAAGGGATCTATTTCGAAGGAAATGTTTTGTGAAAGGCTTCTTGTGATCAGTAATAGTGAACAGATTGTTGTCTGGGAATATTTTCATTTGTGAAAAATGATAATCAATGCTGAAAAGACACAAGAAACACGTCCAAAGTTTGATGATAAAAAGTTTGAGGAATTTCGGTCGCCGGAAAGGGATGAATGGGTCCGATGTATTGAGACACTTGTCCGAGCCAGTTAATTTGCAATTCGATCAAAACATTCTTCGCTTTCAGTAACTAAAGTATATTATCGTAAAACACTGATAAGCACGGAGACACTGGCGACAGCTTTACAAAACGCCGAGGTGTTCGGCAGCTGTTCATGGCTGCGATTGGCATGATTGCAATGATATTTTCCAACAGATTGACACATTTATCGTGAGTAAAATTTAAAGATAGAATAAAAGTTTATCATGAAAATTTAACCAAAGGCCTACCCAAAAAATAAGGATCAACGTTAGAGATTGTGCAGCTGACAAAAGTGAAGAAAATGTAAACAAACGGTAGGCTCCTAGATTTCTCCATGTACACAGGTTGAATCGATAGCCCAAAAACTGTATGAAATACTTGTTTACATTTTAAATAAAATAATTATCATTTTACTTGCTTACTTTGTTCATTTTTATACAAGAAAAGCAAGTAGAGCAGGTCATTTTATAATTTATGTACTGGTAGATATTATTGCGCCGTGTGATTAGGTCACATATTGACCTCTGACCTCTGACAAACTTCATACAGAATTCATATTTTCTCTTTGTATTTTTATATAATGGAGAAATACCACAAATGTATATATTTCTACATCAATGTACTGGTTCATCTAAAGACGCGATTTAAAACAAATCATATGCACATAAGTAAAGTTAGCTACTAGTAACTGGCTACTAGTTGCTGGCAACGACGAGTGGGTAAAGTTAGCTACTAGTAGCTGGCTACGAAAAGTAAGTAAAGTTGGCTTCTAATAACTGGCTACTAATAGCTGGCTACGACAAGTAGGTACATTTGACTTTGGCTACTAGCGACTGACTACTAGTAAATGACATGAACCTTCTAGTACTTTTTGTGTAAAATTATGCAAACTTGGGAAACAAATGTTCATAATCTTGAAGTTGCTGGATTTTAACACTGCTGATTTCCACTGATATTAATGACAAAAACAAAAATCTTATTACTACAGATATCTTGGTAGCTTTAGTTCCAGATCATGTGGAAAAGCCTAGAGATTGTTTTTTTTTTAGCAATATCAGCTTATTCATCAGTAGAAATGATAAGAGATTGTTTTTATCAGTATTATAAGTGGATATCAGCGATGTTAATTAAAATCCATCTAGTTCAAAAATATCAATATTAGTCTCCCAAAGTTGCACAATTTTACACTAAGGGTATTAGTACCTGAGTTTATTACTACAGAAATCTTAGTAACATCAGTGTAAAACCATGTGGAAAAGGTTAAAGATTGTTTTTATATATCAGCAATATGAGCTACTACATGTATGTCAGTGGAAATGATAAGAAATTGTTTTTATCAGCAATATAAGCTACTATGTCGGTGGAAATGATAAGAAATTGTTTTTATCGGCAATATCAGTAGATATCAGATATATAAAAATCCAGCTACTTCAAGAATGTAAACATTTGTATCCCAATTTTGCATAATTTTACACAAAAGATACTAGAAGGTTCAAGTTATTTACTAGTAACCAGTAATTGTAGCAAACTTTAACCACTTGTTGTAGCCAGGTACTAGTAACCAGTTACTAGTAGCCATCTTTACTTACTTCTCGTAGCTAGCTACTAGTAGCCAGCTTTACCCACTTGTCGTAGCTAGCTACTAATAGCCAGTTACTAGTAGCTTACTTTATTTATCTATCACGTGAAAGCGGGACAAATAGAGACAAGAAACGCGGCTTCTAGTACGTGGATTGAAAATATTAATTCAATGTTCAATATAAGGAATTACTTGCAGATTTTTCGATTTTATGACCGTTATGTGATTACTCGATTGGCTTTCGTGATAAGTTTGTGCATATACTCCTTCGTTTATGCCAATTATTCCGCAAGTCTATAGATTGAACAAATATTAAAATCGAAAAAAAGACAATTGTTCCTCAATCTAATACAAAAGAAATTGACAGTCCATCTTTAAAACAATCACTAGCACTAATTTATATAGTTTGACTCATGGAAAAGGTATTATTGAGTACTAATTACTAATAATAGACTTCATTGGTCTGAATTTGACATACATAATTAATTCAATTTTCAATATTATCATAAATCTTAACCTTTGGAAAATTTATCAGGAAAAATACAAGTGGGACAGCAAAATACCAAAATAATTCAAAGAAGAAAGCTGAGAAGTTGTCCTTAGAAAATACAACACCTAATAAGGATATATATGACGAAATTGGTGAGAAAGGAACGTATCAAGAACTTGAACCCAGGACAGAGGTATCTGATGATGGTAGATATGAGAAATTGGGAGTATCTGACACTGGTGAAAATCATGAACTTGGGCCAGGAATGGAGATTCATGATAAATCTAAAGACAACACAGAATACCAGGAACTGGGTCAAATAAATGAACACTTTTATTATGACAAATTACAATAGCTTGGAGTTTGGAAATTTGATTTTCTTTAAACATCAACGAATTCAAAACGAACACCGAAAGATATGTTCATGCACTAGTGTGAATACATTTACATAATACAGAGAAACATAGACATCTCTATAAACGTGAATGTTCAGAATGTGTTATTTGTCTACTATTAATCTAGCACTATGAAAAGAAATTGTAGATGAAGAAGCAAAATGTCTTATTAAGGAAGACTACTGTAAATAATACTTTATGCGTTGTTTTCTAATGGGAAAGAAGAACCCAAAAAAGATTTGAATCCAATGATGGTTTTTATTTCATGTGTTAAGGGTATAGAGTCATGAAAAATGCTAGTCTCAACCAACTCTCCAATTTTATACCTATTTTTCTTGAGTCAAGGTTTATCAAATGAAAAGATCTAAAATATCTTCCAATTTAAGACATTTCTTCTGTTGATATTATTTGTATCTTCTGAATAAATCAGATTAAATATCTCTGTTACATATCGAGTATCGGAACATATGTTCGTGGTGTACATAATTGAATTTTATGTTCTAAACTATTTTTGATAACATGACAATTAGATTAATATTAGCTGCTTTTTCTAATATAACTAAAAAGTAAATCGTTGCCTACAGTATCTCAGATAACGGCAACTAAATTTCTTTCACCTTTTCGATAGACAAATATCAGATTAAAGACAGGTATCTGGATTTATTTCAAATGATTTAAATTTACATTCTTAATGTAGGTCTTTATGAAAAATGGCGATATTTTTCAGAATTTGAACTTTTCGATAGAGTTATATAAGATAAAAGGCTGATATCTGAATTCTAAATTGATACCTACGATACATTTTTTACAAAAATATGCCCTTATTTCTTGAATTTGGACTTTGGAGAGATAACACAAATTTAACAAGTTATCATTTTTGCATTATTTAGCTTCTTTTATTGATTTTGTTTGCATTTATTATTATAAAAATATTGCATGTAGTTGAGTGTAACATTGAAAATTTTCACACCAGGAAAACTATTGTCAAACGAGGCGCAGCCGAGGTCAACAATGGTTTTCGAGGGGTGAAGAAATTCAATGTTACACTCAACTACATGCAATATTAATTATATTATACTGAATGTTTTTTACAAATACATATATCAGTGAACCATACGCACATAAATTCTGCGCAGTCGCTATTTTTTTGAATTATCACCCGTCGTCAAGCAATGAAATACAAAGGATATATGCTACGAAAGCAAAATCATGCCAGAACAAAAGAAAATGACTGAAGAAAAAAATGTGTTAACAAAACAAAACACGATGTT